AGCATCCTGCAGTAGTGTAGCTTCACTAGGAGTTGATCATGAGACTCTTTGAGGCTTGCACGCGCACTCTTCAAGGCCTTGTGAGCCTTGTCAAGTATATCAAACTCCTCCTTGAGTATAGCATGGTCAACCCCAAGTTTAACCTTCTCGGAATTGAGCACACGAGACACAACAAGAGCATGATCAAGATCTTTCTTTCATTTAGCAAGATCATCGTTGTGTGACTCCTCAAGAGCCAAACAATGAAGACGCTCTACCTCAAGCGCATTAGAGAGATCCGATATCTCATCGGCATAGTCACGACTATGCTCTTCCATCTTAGAGATGGTTTCTTCGTGAGCCTCGATCATGTCATTGGCTTCACCAAGTTGTTCTAAGAGATCAACGAAGTGCTTCTTGGATTTATCCTTGAGCTTATTCATAAAAGACTCAAATTCATTTTCTTCCTCCTTCGACCCCTCGCTTTCATCAATGCAATTCGTCAAGGAAGGATTAGTAGTGATGGTGGTTTTGATGTTGGGGGTTACCTTGTTGGTGGCTTTAGCCATGAGGCACTTGGCGATGATGTTTTCATTGGGTAAGTCGAAGAGGGACACCCGTGGAGTTCTTGCAATGGCAACGGAGGCCATGGCAACCGTCTCACCGTCTTCATCATCATCATCCTCATTGTACTCTTCTTGTGCCACCAACCCCTTGGGAGGAGTCTTCTTGGTGAAGTTGTTCTTGTTGGGGAAGGACTTGGCCTTGTCTTTTCGGATAAGCTTGCCCCCATTGTCTTCCCCTCTTCTCATACGGGCATTCCGCAACAAAGTGGCTCACATTGCCACAGTTATAGCATGTCCTCACACGTTGCTTGCACTTGGTGCCACTTGAGTTGTTCTTGTTGAAGTTGGGCCTTGTGTTCTTCTTGCTCCAAATTTCCCGTGACGCGAGAGCTATGTGCTCATGATAAGCATACTTGGTATCTTCGGGGCAACATTCCTCTTCTTCCTCTTCACTCTCTTCTTCCACACTAGTCTTGGCCTTCAAAGCAAGGTTGGGCTTCTTTGATCATTGAGAACATAACACCGCATTGTCGGCGGTCTTGTCCAAGATCCTCATAGAAACAAACTCATCCAACACTTCACTTAAGGACAAGGCATGAAAGTCTGGCCTTTGATGGATGACAGAGGACATGGCCTTGTGGTAGGGCATCATGGCCTGGAGAAACTTGCGCTTTATCCAATTGTCATCTGTATCCTTGCTCCCATGATCTCGGAGTGAGACCGTGAGAGTGGTTAATCTCCGGTAAAGCTCACGAGGTTCTTCATCTTCATTCATCACAAAATCATCGGCTTCACCTTGTACCACTTCAAAGTTGGAGCGTTGAATGCTTGCGACATGTTGCCATGCTTCCTTGTCCACGGTGAAAGGTCGGAGGTGTACAATATCTTCGGGAGGAATTGCTTCTTGGAGAATGAAGAGAGCGGACTCGTCGATTTGATGGTCCGCGGCTTCTCTAGGAGTGAAGTTGCTTGGGTCGTGCGGGTAGAAACCTTGCTCAATAATTCTCCAAATATTAGTAGAACTATGATTTTAATGACGTTTAAAGCGATACACCCAAGAAGCAAAATCCTCATTTTTCACAAGCTTAGGAGGAGGACCAACATGATTCATATGCATGGAGGGAACCGGTCCTCCATAAGTAAGTGGAGGTTCAACATGGGCAAAGACGCCACTCCCACTTCTACCACTAGGCAAATGAACTTGCTTACTGCTAGCTTCCCCCTTTTTGGAGTTAGCATCCGCCACCTTGTTAGCGAGATCAACCACTTCCAATGGGTCGGTGGATAATTTAAGCCCATCAAGAAACTCCTTAAGCATGCCTTTAACCTCGGCCGTCATGGAGGTTTTCAATGTGTCCATAGCCGCATTAAACTCCTCATGATAGACCGAGGATCCCCCATCGGCCGCAGACAAAGTGGGATTCGCACTGGGGTGATCCTCCACCTCATCTGTGGTGTCAACCATACTCTTCGGATGGCAAAGTCCTTAATAAAGAGACGAGGCTCTGATACCAATTGAAAGGATCGATATGGTTGACTAGAGGGGGGTGAATAGGCAACTAACAATTTTTAGCTTTTCTTGACCAAATTAAACTTAGCATCAAAGTAGATTCTGTAGATGTGCAACTAGGTGAACAACCTATATGATGCAACAACAACAAGCACACATGCAAGCAAGGGGTACAACACAAAACAATCTTGCACAAGTAAAGGTGAGAGATAACCAAGAGTGGAGTCGGTGGAGACGAGGATGTGTTACCAAAGTTCCTTCCCTTTGAGAGGAAGTATGTCTCCGTTGGAGCGGTGTGGAGGCACAATGCTCCCCAAGAAGCCACTAGGGCCACCGTATTCTCCTCACGCCCTCACACAATGCGAGATGCCGTGATTCCACTATTGGTGCCCTTGAAGGCGGCGACCAAACCTTTACAAACAAGGTTGGGGCTATCTCCACAACTTAATTGGAGGCTCCCAACGACACCATGAAGCTTCACCACAATGGAATATGGCTCCGCGGTGACCTCAACCGTCTAGGGTGCCCAAACACCCAAGAGTAACAAGATATGCAAGGGCTATATTGGTGGGAATCAAATTTCTCTTGGTGGAAGTGTGGATCGGGGCGTTCTCAACCAATCCCTAGAAAATCAACAAGTTTGATTGGCTAGGGAGAGAGATCGGGCGAAAATGAAGCTTGGGGAGAGAAGAGGTAAGTCAACTTGGAGAAGAAGACCTCCTTTTATAGTGGGGGAATCAATCCAACCGTTACCCCCTCTTCAGCCCGCGCAGAGCGGTACTACTGCTAAGTAGAGCGGTACTACTGCTGGTGGCAGCGGTACTACAGCGACCACCAGCGGTACTACCACAGAGACTGAGAGCAGAAGCAAAAGAGGGAGAGCGGGAGAGAAAAGGAGGGTATGGGCGGCACTAGTAGCGGTGGTAGTCGCGGTACTACCGCTCACGTGCGCTACTACCGCTGCTACTGCCGCTACTACTGCCGCACAGCCCGACACGAGAAAAGATATCCTCGAATCGAGGCGGTAGCGGTGCCGTGCCGAACCAGGACGGTACTGCCGCTGATGCACCCAAGTGGTACTACCGTTGCAGGACAGCGGTACTGCCGCTTGAGGACCATGGGCGGTACTACCGCGCTGGCGGCGGTACTACCGCTATTTCCTCACAATCTCCACTTCCGATGAAACGACAAGCTCCAGGGAGAGGAAAGGAGCTGGGGGTGCAAAAAATGAAGTGTACGTGTTGATTCCACCCTAGTCTTTCCATTGCGGACCCCCTCTTGATAGTACAGTGTCTCCTACAACTCAAGTTCACCAAAACCGAAACGAAAGAGACTACACCGTCTTTACTTAAAGCTCTGAGGGGAAGGAAACGTCTCGTTCCAATGAATGAATCTCTGAAAAACTCAATGCACACGATTAGTCCACAAAAGCATTGTCATCAATCACCAAAACTACTTAGAGAGAGACATTGCCCTAACAACGACATGGGTCATGCTCTTCCTCCTGTCGAGTTTGCTGTAAAACAGTGCATCATACCAACTAGAACATCAGGTAAACTAATGTTCTAGTTGGTATGATGCACTGTTTAATAGCGTGCTAATGACAAGGAGTAGTGTCAACTGTGTTGTTCATACATGATGTTTGTTGTGAAGTTTTATGTATTTGAGTGGTGAGTCCACCATATTTGAAAGGGGTGAATAGAACAGCTACGTGCATACAACCAATTAACCAACCACCATGGTTTGTATCTGCTCGTCCCTAAAGCACAAATGCAGGTCACCACACAACATGCATAATATGGTCAATGATGCAATGAAGGCAACCAAACTACTCCCTCCGTTCCTAAATATAAGTCTTTGGAGACATTTCACTATGGACCACATACGAAGTAAAATGAATGAACTACACTCTAAAATGCATCTATATACATCCGTATGTGGTTCATAGTGAAATCTCTATAAAGACTTATATTTAGGAACGGATGGAGTACATGCAGAACATGATTTTTAGTCCGCATTTACTTAGCCAGGCTCCATTGAGTCACACATGCAGGGGGGAATGGTGCACGCAACCAAACACGCCCTGTGGAGCACCAAACCTATGCAGCTGCCCACAATCCAAGTCGGCTAACACGTTGAGATTCTGAGTGAGGATGCGGTACATTGGAGGGAGCTGAACCCGCTGAATGCTGTGAGCTCTCTCTCAATGCGCTTGCGCCTTGCGGGCACTGGTTGTCAAGCAGATTAGGTAATGCTGGGTTATTCAGGCCGTAGTCACATTTTTTTGCTCAGGACCGCCTGTCCAAGTATCTGTTTTCTGAGAGTGTAATTGGTTCTACCTCCTAGCATTTGTTACTTGCCTCTATGGAACAAAGGTCGAATTGGATTCAAAAGTCATTCTTAAACATTGGACGAGGATTTCTCGACGCCAAAGCACGGATGTTCAACTACTCCCTCCGTCCCAAAATGTAAGAAGTTTTCTTACACTAGCTATGATAGTGTAAAACAAGTCTTACATTTTGGAATAGAGGGGGTAGTAGATTAGCCCGCAAGTCTGGTCCCGCAGGGTGCACAAAAGAGCCAAGCTCTTCACTCAAAACTGAAGCAAATGATGCGACAGGAACACCCGAGTGCTTACATGCGCAGGCAAGGCACGCATTTGTAAATGTGATCTTGGAAATGTGGTAAATGGATATACGTGTTTACTATTAGGAATAATAATGCCATGATATAAATAATAAAAACAGTGACATATCAATCAAGGCACTTGACTAGCAGCACATTAGGCATTATATATATAAACATAGGTCGACGATTAATCGATAAAAAACCTTGCTTCTTGGCATGCAGTGGCAAGAGAAACAAGAGTCAGTTTACAGATCGGCCGAGATTCGACATGGCTACAGCAGACGATTAAGCTAACTTTTTCACCCAGAATTTGGATCTCAGCAGGATGACTTGCGTTTGAACTCGGGTGACCTCTGGAGAAGCAGCTGGCCTTCCATGCCCGACGGAGAAGGCTTGCCCCCCGGGCTGTGCATGTTGATCGAGCTGACGGAGAGCTGGTGGAACACGGAGGAGCTCAGCGCGTCGGTGGCGGTGCCGCACATGACGCCGCCGGAGGACAGCTCCGGGAGACTCTGGTCGGAGACGCTGAAGCCGCTCGACGCGAACTGCTCCGAGACGATCTTGCAGGCCTTCTCCAGCAGGGTGTTGATGTACGTCGTGTACGCGTCCATCCTGATGTCCACATGCTTCTGAACCTGATCATGGTGGAAACAAAAAAGGCGGTCAGGCAGCGTGTGTGGACATCTCATTCATACTTCAATGCTAACCTTAAATATGTACTCCCTCCGTTCCAAATTACTCGTCGTGGTTTTAGTTCAAAATTTGAACTAAAACCACGACGAGTAATTTGGAACGGAGGGAGTAGAAACTAGAGAGCAAATACTGAAGTTGGCAAACAAATTCTTCTTGTCTGGCAGCACACATGAGACAACTAAGAATATGACAGAAGAAGTGGTCAATGTTACCTCCACTTGTTCATGCAGGCTTCGTTGCATCTCCATCTGTGCTCTCAGGGCTTCTTTAACTTCTTGACTTCTGCAGCGAGTGATTATAAAGTTTGTAAGCATGTAGCTCTTTCAGATAGCACTATCAAAGTAGATATCGTAAATGTACTCATATTCTTCCAAAAAAAGGCATGAAGGACAAGGAGTAGCTCGTGGAATTTACTCTTTCGCATCTTGAGTAGAAACTCTGGGAGACAGGCTCATTCCACCTTGAGCATCAAGAAGATAAGACCCTGCAAATTGGGGAAACCAGGGAAGGCAGACACAGAACTGAAGTCAGAAATGACATGACTTAAAAGGAATTTTCCAGAGATTTTCTATCAGAAATGGCAAGACCTAACAGAATTTTCCAAGAGATTTTTTAGGTCAGAACTATAGATGTGCATACTAGTCCTGAGTTTCTTCATAAAATCATTGCAAAACTTATGGTTCATATTTACCTACAATTTGACATACGATAGTCATTTGTTATTCTTGTGAAGTTACTGGTGATTGACAAGAAGAAATCATACAACAAACTGCATTAATCAGTGCGTGTGGGATAAGTAGTGCTACTACGCAAGACAGATGCAACAAATGAGCAACGAGCTGAGAGACTGACAGCACTGTTGATTTATAACCTTTAAAAACATTAAAATTTAAATGACCAGATCTTATCATTAAACAGCGACGAGCTAAAAACGAGACAATAGAAGTGCATTAAACAAGACTTCTCTTCTCATTTGCAACCTTTAAAACTTAAATGACCAGATCTTACCTAACTGTTGATTTATCTATACTACTATATAGTGTAGCAATTTTGAAAGTTTGAATCCAAACATCAGAATGCAATTTCTACCTTTGATTGGCCTCATCCGAGGGCCTAGGATGCTGGGATTCACAGCTACAGTAGTAAGCTCGTTTCTCTAAGTCGTTCTAGAAACATCCGTGAATCAGCCCTGAACCCTTTCCGTCCCTAAAATAAAAGCAATAGCCCCTTCCATGCCCCCCCCTTCTTACCATCACACGATAGACATGAACAGCCGTATGTGGTGAGCAGTTCGATGGAATCGCATCTATAGCCAGTGCCGTATAGCATGAGGCTGGTGTAGCGTACATAATTCAACACATACATGGCAATCTCGGTTTACATGTGGGAACATGTGATGCATGTGAAGCTAACTAGTATGTGTAGTATATATTCTATCTGAACCCTTGTGTTCAGTTTGTCTTATGCATTGTGTTGGCCTATCGCTAAAAACTCATGCGAACTTAACTTGCGTTTCCTTTTAATGAAAAGATGTGCAGCTGCTTTTTGCACATTCTCCAAAAACATCAGGCAGCTCAGAGCCGCATCCACATATATGCATGTATCATGTCATGGCTGGTACAACAGAAACCAAAGCAGTACCAATACTAGAATGGAGTTACAAAGATTCAATAAAGAAAGCATAACTGCAGTGGGAAAGTGCAACTCTAGGATATACCCAAAACACCTAACTTAATTTTCAAACATTTGCATGTGAACTTGTCAACACAATATTATGCTGCAATAAGCAACAATGTAAACAAACACTAAAGTTGCTATTGCTAACCAAGCAAGATCAAGTTCCAAGTTTTTCCCTCTTTAATTGCATGTAGATACAAAATCATGATGTGATGAACCAATTCATATTTTTTGTTAAAAGGAACTCTGCCTGGGGGTGAAGGCCACTGGGGCATTTTACCATCGCTCTATCAATGCATTCACAACCAATTCATATTAAAGTAGTTATGGCAAGTGCATAGCTGCAGATAATGGCTGCTTAACTGTATTACCGGCAATGTACGCACATCACAGACACTAATTCTTTCAAATGCACAACGATAACAATCCAAAACTTTCTGCTACAATACACACCAAAATTTTGCTATAGTCGATGCAATACTGTGTCAAGTGAAAAAATAAATACACCCATCTATACAAAAATTCCCCCTCAGTCGTCAGTCCCCACTCTCTTCCTTCCACAGATCTTTCTCAACGAAGAGATGTGCATCATAAGCAACCAAACAGACATTAGTCTAGGCTGCCTGCCATCACCAAACCTGGAAACTCCCACCAATCCTAACCTTTCAAGAAGTTTGCACTAAGTGGTTCTTTGCAACATACGCTGAATCTGGTCCAAACTGATTAATCAACAGAAACACTGAGATCAGTAGACTGCTTTATATTACTTACCATCTTTAGATTGCTCCGGCGTCTCCTTCCCAGTTTGTTTCCCCATTCTGTATTTCTGGTCGTACGAATAAAAGAGCAAACACAAAATAAAACAGCTGTATTCAAGATATAGTAAGAAGCATGTGTGTATGCAGAAGTACCTGAAGATGACTCTTCAAGTGGAAAAGCGTTAGTCCCTTTACACCCATTGTCCTTAAGATAGTTTTTGGTGTTGCTTCTGCAAGAGAAACCATGCATTTAACTACTATATTCAAAGGTGTATTAAAAAAAGGTCATTAGCGAGATAGTAGGTTACAGTGATAGCATTCAACTAATACAAAATGGAAATTTCAGGTTCTAACATGGTTGGGCTATAATTTGGCATTTACAAGCATATGGATATCATGCAAAGAGATCGTCATGCCCCAGGAACCAAGATTCAAAACGATGGAATGCAACAAATAATTGCTCATATTTGCTTTCTGGTTATGATCATTATTACTATCATTGGAATAAAATGCTCATTATTATTGTCAGCTAAACAGAACTTTAATTTGTAACCTTTTGACATTTACATAAGGCTTTCCTGACCAGGTAACTAGCCAACTTGAGAAAAATAGTCACAGAAATCATACTTAACATTTACCTGAATTATATTTTTTAATAAAAGGTCAGTATTTAGAAGAAAAAGGTAAAAGGAAAAGCTGACCTTTGACAGAAAAAGCAACATTAACAATCACAATTTGCAATTACCCCCAAAACCCAGGCAATTGACTATAATGGTTTAAAGCAATTGAAACCAAATAAAATAGCGTAAGGGTACCCAAGAGGCTAAGACAGTGAAGAAAAAGACCCACTCCGTAAACTACCTTTCTGCTATTTCCACACAACTTACAATGCCACACACACGCACGCGCACACTGACAACGAACATTATCATCAAGACATGGTGCATCATGACTGGCCATCATATGACTACAATTTACCACCATGACTAGCATCCATGATCGTTACTCTGCCAAGCTTCTAAATACTTCTAAATATCAACCGATACGATTAATATATTGTCCAATATTTCTTTTTTCTTTCGAGAACACGCAAGCCACTGCATGTATATCCATTAGATAGAAAGAAAGATGTCCGATATTTCAGTACTGGTGATAACGATACCAAATCAACTATACAACAACAACAACAACAAAGCGTTTAGTCCCAAACAAGTTGGGGTAGGCTAGAGTTGAAACCCATAAGATCTCGCAACCAACTCATGGTTCTGGCACATGGATAGATAGCTTCCAGGCACCCCTGTCCATGGCCTGATATGGATGATATTTTGACTGATATTTCGGTCGGCATTGACCAATATGTACGTGACAGGTCATTTTTATCCATAAAATTTATACACGTACAACTTCATCAGATTATTAAATTAATGTGCAATTTATGTAATGGCGTGTCTATAACGTTTTACCATCACAATAAAGATTTGACGAGTGCCTATTTGCCCATTTCTTACGCAAACCACCAAAAACCTTTATTTATACACTCAATATGCCCAAGTGTGTTTTTTATATATACTATTTATGTGGGAGTGGCATGATATAAACACAAATAACTCAACAGATGCAAACATTTTTGTTTCGATACGCCTACATATCATCCGATATATCGCCCGACATCTGATAATGCCAAGGTCGAACCGACATGAACCCGATATCCGATATTTCGAAGATTGTCCATAGCTGCCTGTTTGTTCAAATTCTGAGCTGATGCAAGCAACAAATATGACCTTATCCGAGAACAAATAAACTGAAGTAACACCGTTAAAGAAAAGCAAAAGTTGCCCTGTTTCGCCTACCGATCCTTGCATCCCCACGAAACCAGCCCCTGAGTGCGCAGAAACTTCTTTCCTTATTCAATGGGATCATCGACATTTCTCTCTAGAGAGTATAATCAAATTATCTAGTTCCTGCAACGTGCTGGAATCCAAGATCGGCCAAAATGACCTTTTCATCTGAACCAAAAGCCTCAAACTGTACTAAGTAAGACCAACCACATAGCCCTCGCAACGCAGGACACATCTCTTCCCAGCTCAAAAGCAAGCAAAATCTGCCATGAGTAGACTAACACCAAATCCAAGGGCGTGTTGAATCCTAAGCGCAAATACACTGCTCCTCGTCCAACATCGCGCATTTCAGCGAAGTGTTGTCCCAGGTAACAAAGACCCAAGCTTTGATCCAAACTTTCCTAAATCTTCAGCACAGACGCCCCCAATGGCTCAAATCCTTGGTCCCAAACCAGCAAGTGGACTCACATGCCGCGCTGGAGTCAAAGCGCACGGTCGCACCAACCAAGAAAGAGAGCCCCCACCCAGCAAGCACGCATTGCCCTCCAATGGCCATGCTTGACGAACCGGAGGGACGGAGGGTGGAGGAAAAATGGGGGAGGGGGGAAGGGGGGAGCGTCTCACTCTCGGGCCCGCCGAGCTGGGCGACGGCGTCGACGAAGCGCTCGTGGAGGTCGGCCGTCCACCGGAGTCGGGGCTTGGGGTCCGCCGTGAGCACGAGGCTGGGCGCGCCGCCGGAGCGCGGCACCTCGCCGGGCCCGGGGCCGTCCGTGCGGTGGTGGATCAGGCCAGGGGGAAACATCTTCTCCTCCTGCTCCTCTCCAGCCAAGAAGGGAGGCGGAGGTGGAGAGGGACAGAGACCTTCTCCTCCTTCGTCCCCAAAAGCGAAGGATCCAACGAAAAGTTCCTCGCCTTTCTCTCTCCTGTTTCCCCCTTCTCTTCTGCGGCCTTTTTCC